GGGTGGCGGTTTATAACAAAAATCTTTTCACAAAGTCCAACATATTTTTTGTTTCTCATGCTTTCAACAACCTTGCTCAGGTTGCCTATTGTTAGAGATGCTGTTTCCAAAGAGACTGTCCAGATATTGTATTGCACTTTTTTTACTTTAGTATACTCTTCACTTTTGGTGGAAGAAGTATTCAGATATGCTACTTTAGTAAAACATAAACAATATCAGAATTAAAGTAAACGCTGAGCATTAGAACCTATAATAAAATATAATATTTGGGTGATTTTTATATGTAGCCTACTAGCTGTCAAATTAATGTAATGGAGTTAAAAGAAGCTACAATAGTTTGCTGTTAAATGGAGAGGAGTAAGGGTTAAGTTTGCCATTAAAAGGAGAGTATACTCAAGTGCCTTAAGAATTGTTCTTGAGTAAACGTACATGTAGTTCAACAGTGTGTTTTATATAACTTTCTTGGCTATAACGGCTAACGGTCAAATAATTTAGTAATTGTTCGCTACTTTCCATTAGCTAATGATGATAAACCCATTCATATCAATAACCAAAGATATAAAACAAGATTATTATGACGGTGGGTTTAGTTTGTGTCTCTCAGGCGATTTATTTAAGACTTAGACCGTACTGTTATGTTGGTTACATTTGATTAAAACGGAGAGTTGGGCTAACGCTAGCCATCTCAAGGAAAACATTTCTAATGCTAACATTAAACGTCAAAATGTGCTAAAAACACTTACCACTGTACCTCCAGGTGCAGAACAAAACATAATCCCCGGGATGCATGATGTACTTCTTCTCTCGGTGGATGCATGATATATACATTTTAAAGAATGTAAGCCTGACCTCAAATAATCAAATTAGCCTTGCGTTGATTGCTAATTAAACAAAAAATGGCCACCGGAAGTGACATAAACAGTGTGCTTGTTTCATGCGTTACCAAAATGTGTAGTTGTAGAATTGCTATTAAAATGACTATATTTAGCTTAATGACATTAAGTACAATATTAATGTACTTTTCCTTAATGTTATATAGTTTGTATTATATTGTAATATGTGTAAGATCGTTAGCTCAATTCCATGCTGCCATCTTGGTTTGGTTTAAGAAGTTAAAGACATGGATGTATGGTTGTTTAAATATTCTGATAATCATATCATACTTGCAGGCTATAATTGCTCAGAATGTGGATAAAATGTACATGAAAAACGTGCTAATTGAATACTTAATTATAACTTTGAGATTGACAAGAGATATATGAATTGAAGACACATGCAACCTGCAAGAACAATGGTTTTATCAAATGTTTAATCGTAATGTGATGCGTAAACATTGAAAAAAGAAAACAAAGAACACTATGCACGAAACATAATCTTACTTTACTTTTACCTTCCCATTCTATTTATTCACCTTATATTTTCCTTTTTGATTCCATAATCATAATGGAAATCATATTGAAGAAAAACAACACAAGAATAAGAGGTTGGATTTTATTTAGTCCACTTTTAAAATTTACATTTTCTGTCGAGATTCATTAAAAAAGATAAAGCATCATCAGCTTTGCAGTCCGTATCACAAAGACACTGCAATAAGGAAAGAGTGAAGTAGAATGAAGATGAATTAGTAGGCACATTTTTCAAATGATACATGTAATCTAATTGATGGCAAAAATATGTACAGCAATGATTTTATCTTGTGGTAGCACATGCTTGGGACAGAGTGAGAGTTCACAGGTTAGTAAAGCACAGATTTATGCAGACATAACGATTTATTCACTGTCTATAAAAGATGTATCAAGTTGACCACACGAGGCAGTCAATTTCCCAAAACTGTATGCAGTTTAATTTTAAATAAATTAAACCTAAGAAGAGAGAGAAATGAGGAATTTCAATGAACTTGTGAACTAATTGGGCGCTTGTCAAACTAAGCACTTTAACAGACGTAAGCTAATGTTCCTCTATATGAATCAAGAATACTGATCTAAAAGTGGACACGACATCCACCTGATGAAATACCTTGAGAAATAAATTAGAAATGGATAGTTGTATTATTAGTACCTGATTTTCTCTCTCTCTAGCCTTAGTTTGATACCTTTGCATAACTTATAGAAAACCTGTCACGTTCTTTTAAAAACTCACAGTAATTCATTCATTAATCACAAGTCCTGATACCACCTAAGACAGGCACAGGATTCTACCCTGCAGAATCCACATACCTTCGAGTCAAACACGCTGGATATTCCATACAAATAAAAGGACACTTTTCATGTTTATATACATAACACTTTTGTACAGTCTTTGCACTTCCATTATAAGAGATTGAAGCATCTCCATGTACAAAGTAAATGGACATCAAATCATGTTCAGTGGATTAAACCTTGAATTCAAAGCTTAAATTGAGCACTTGGTTACATGTAAAATGATCAAGTTCAACTGCCTTTGCATTGAAAAAAATTCAAATATGAAATTCTGTCGTACTGGGTTATCTAGGGAATCACCTGAAGTATTCCTAGACACAGATTGGGATCAGTTTCTGCCATCCAAACATATTCTGGTGGAATTTTTTTAACGGACCGGTGACCATAGAAACTTCACTCTGCTCAAACAGGAGAAACTGAAAATCAACACTGTTAACAGCTATGCTAAGTAGTGTTGCATTGATAAAGTATTTTGATCATGTTATCAAGTGATTTCACTTACACTCCAAAACAACATCAAACAGCATTATATTTTAAGGAAATGTTAACTGTGGATCATCCCACCGGCCATTGAAAGGTGTACAACAGAATCAATTGAATCCAATAAAGAAGGCAGTGAATGTTCAAAGTTTGTGAGTCTGCTTTAGTCAAACCCAGTCATTCCACCTGCTTTCATACTGCATACAGCTTATACCTGGCTCACACCACTTCCTACAACTGTACACACAGTGCTGTTCTAGGCCTGACAGCAGTGTAAACTAAACACAGTTTAGTGGCTATGAAGCTCCACTGGCCCCTCCACATTAAGGATTTTGCTCAGGTGGAACGTGACAACTGGACCATCCCAAAGCACAAACTGGAGCCTACACTAGTTTAAAAGGCTCAACGGTTTTGGGGTTCAGAGGGTGATTCGGGGGACAACAAGGTCACTTGGGTCCCTTGGAAAGGGTGTCTGTCTCTGTGGATTGGCGGCCATCGTTCCAGGCCTCCCGGGTGCTCTTAAGGGCTTGTGTTCGTTGCTGGTCCACAACCACGTAGTCAACACGCTCATCCGACACTACAATTCCAGTTCCATTGCTTTTCATCTGAAGAATGAAAAAACATGAAGGTTGGTCCTAATTTAAACCGACTTGTGTAAAATATGTCTCAGGATGAGGGGGCTGATAAACTCCTACCTTCCTAGGTGGGGTAGACTTGCTGGGGTCAAGATCCAAATCCAGGTACTCCACCTGTTTGTCTCCCTTCGGCTTCACCTTAGGGCTGCTCCCACCATCCACAGTCATGGGGGCGACAAGCTTCATGTTCTATATAAGCCAGGGAAAAAATGTTATTGACTGAAGAAAAATACTGAGCTAGTGAAAGTGTAAGAGCATTCATATTTTTAGTATTGTCACAATAACCATAATTTGGATGCTAATATTGTAACAAATTAGATTGATTTGATTTCACAAACAGTTGGTACTTTCACAAAGTATGTCCTGTGAGCCCAAACTGCATTCAAAACATATTACAAAGTTGCAAATATGGGTACAGATGGGTTGTTTACATTAGTCAGAAAAAACTGGAGCGAGTAAGGAGCAATTATGCTACTTAGATGAAGTGTCCATTATAAAAATAGATTTGTTTGATCAATGAACATATTTTCATGTAGCTGGTCAAAGTGTGTTAGCTGAAGCCTTGGATGCATCATTATGCTGATACAGCAATTATAATTGGCATCAAACGGGCCAAAACTCTAAAGCCGTCCAATGATAAGCAAAGCGGATCAGATTTGAATTTTAATTCTGAGGTTATAGTATATTTATATTGAATAAAGCAGTGGGTCACTCACACCCCTTTGCGATTTCCTTGTTTTTTTAATATCTTAAGATAAGGATAAAGAGCTTTAGTGTTACTAGAAAAGTAAAAAGGCTGGTATTGTGACAATACTAAAAGGCACAAACAGGGTCAATAGGTAGTGTTAATCTCTGACTACAAGTGAGTGGAGTTATTAGGATGATGACAAAACAAAGATATGTTAGTTGTTATGAACGTCTTTTAAATTCCCTGGTGTGTGTCCAATCCACAGTTTCTAGCTGGTGTTAGGGAGTGATACAAGCAAAACAAAGTATGCCCTATGTACATTCTGAATTTCTGATCCAATAATAACACCCGGTAACCCCTGGTGTTCTGACAGGGCAGGCCATGCATGTCTAACCTCGCAAGCCTGCTCACCTCCTCTATGTTGTCAAGTTCCTCCACCTCCCTCTTTACAGGGGTGATGGGGACTGTGCAGTAGAAGGACTCCTCTCTACACAGAGTGAGAAAAAGCAGTGACAAAGGAAAAAAGAGAAAGAGCAGATGGTCAAGAATAAAATGCAGGGGAAAGAAAATGGATGGAGCCAGAGCCTGGGGAAGTCAAAGGAATGAGGAACTAGGGAGAAAAACATGAGTGGTAAAGAACAGGAAGTCAGCAGACAATATCAAAGCAAAGGTTGGAAAAAGTTAAATTGTTAAAGCAAGAAAATAGTATCTAATAATCTAATACCCAAACTGTAAGAAGAAGATCACCAGATGACAGAAATGTTGTCATATCTGTGTTCAAATATCTATTTCAGCAGATATTAATCAATGACGAAAGACATGTAATTTTGATTCCATTCAAACCAATGCCCAAATGATAAAAGGGGGATCTTTTGAATAACAGTTTGGGTACTGACTAAACAAAACAGGCATTTTTTTTAAAGAACATAATACCGGAAATGTGAAAGAACAAAATAGGGAATAAAGAAAGCAGAGCAGCAGAACAAGGGGAAACTGCAAAGAAAAGAGTTTGAGTGGCGAGGAGTCCGTCTGCAGCGAACAGTCATTTGTCCTCAATAATGTTTGCCTTAAGGCGAGGAGTAAGGACTGCAAATGGGATTTCTAATTCACAACAATTACAGCTTAACATTCTGGGAGGCATGGTGTTTAACCCCGATTGAAAAGTCTGACTCTTACTAAATCTCTACTCTGTCAATGTTGGATCTTCGTCTTTGTAAATGTCAAATATATTAATCATTTAAAATAGGTTCAACACATCAGAAAGAGGATCAAAATCAAATCACACATTTTGGAATTTTTTTCTGTATCTTTGATTATCTTCAATTTGAGGATAGAAAGAATAATCATGCAGCTTCTTATATCAGAGGATAGTTGTGTGTTACATACTGGTTCATCTGTGGACATATTAGAGTCCATGGCTACATAAGTCTCATCACATTCCTCGGAGTCAGTGCTGGAGGCCGTACTATGCACTGACGGCGGTCTCACTGCTGGCATTGGAAACCTAGAGAGACTGAGCAGCATTCACAATGTTTACACACCGACTTCCAGGAAAATACACTCTCTGCTGAACATCAAATATATTACAGACATAACCGCCACAGCTGTAAACCACTGCGGCAAAAAGAGTCCCTGCAGGACGAATAACAGGAATAGAACTTATCCCAGATAAGACAACGAAGGGCATTCAGTATAACGTAGCTCTGGGACATATCCCACAATGGTTTTATATGAGCAGTGCTACGGTGGTCACAGGGTGAACACAGTAATGCATGAAGTGTTAGTACCTACTCATTTAGGTTATTGTATTCACTACAGAAGGGAATGTTCACACCAGATAATATAATTACAAGAAGAAAAAAAACACTTGTTGGTAATATGGCAGATATTGCACAACATTTCTTTAACAACATCAGTTGCCCAGTCTCTTGGATATGAAGTGCAGGAGTTTATTTTTTATTGAATTGTGCCTTGTGAAAAAAAAACACATTTCCCAACTCAAGTGAAACTAAAAAAGGGAATACAAACTGGCTGATGAGAAAAGAGAGTAGTGTGAACACGCCCTTAGTTGTTAGAAAAATTCTTAACCATGAAAAATGTTGCAGAATATTTGAGATACTTACTCCCGAGCAAAGGATCGTGTGACAGGCGAGCGGATCGGCGTGGAGGGCTCCTCCCACTCTGGCAGAGGTTTGATCTCTAGAGGAGCGGGTCTTCCTGAAGGTACACATCACAGTCAGTCACTGCACACATGCTACATGACTGCAATGCTGACAAATGCATAGACGTCGTATATAGTGGGAAATAAACAACCCTTTGTTTTTTCGTTATTTATTGTGTTTAAGTGCAGCTCAAAAGCTAAAACAAAAACTGCATAATAAACGCAAGGAAGCTTTTATGTTGAAAAACAAATCTGTGTTGAACAATGACAAAAAGCTACAAAATGTAAAATTCTGTTTGCACATTAAAATTCCAAAGCATTTTCCAGCAATTTATGTCTAATTTAAATCAAAATATGTCCTTTTCACAAGGGGGTCTTTTCTGCTGGAAACTGTGTTTAGACTTTTGTAGCAAGAACACAACTTTTGCTTTAGTATTGACATTAAAGTTGCAGTTAAAGTTTTTCACATTTGCTTGGGGTATAGGGATAATTTAGCCAAATATGACAACGTAATTTTGTAATTGTTTTAATAAAGCAGGTAGTCATCTGCCAGTCAATACTTTATGTACACACACCGGAAAGATCATCACTATGAGTTTCTCTTTCATTAGATAGTATCATTGTTCAATTTCCTTCTGAAGAGCTATCTACTACTTTCACCATGCAAGTGTTTTCTGACTATAATTATTTTGTTGCGACTACATGTAAATGTGTATTTTGGAAGCACAACATGTAAAACAAAAAAAAACACAAAAAGAAATGTTTGGGAAGAGAAATGTTAGTAACTTGCTATACTGTGTGTAAATAGTCACATCTGAATAAGGGGATATTTAAAAGGTAATTTGAACATTTTATTCTTAGTTTAGTCATGTTGTGACTAAGAATGCAATCCACCGAGCATGAAGTGCACGCTCATTCCCTTCCTGCTAGGATTTAAAACAATAAGACTGGATTAATGCAACAGCTCTGACACCCATGTTATATTCTTAAAGCTATTTGGGTAGCTCTGAGTGGATGTGCTCATCACAGACAGCAAGTATTAAAGATAGGGTTTAATTGAGTCTGGCTTGCACACAGTTTATCTCTTATAGAGCCAACAGACCTGAAAACAAGATGAATCCAACAGCATGCAGAGAGTCAGGATGAAGTTTGGACAGGTCAGAGAATGGAAAGTTTTCACGTACACAATGGCAGTTCAGTGTGGAGTACCTACCCTTGCGTCGTCCTCTCGGGAATTCACCTACGGTTTGAGAGTCGGTTCGCTCTAAGACAACACCTTTTGCTCTTATTATTTTAGGACTCTGACCTGATTGGTAAAAAAAGACTTTGCTTATTATGATATTTTTGGTGATCACAACAAATTAGCCCTGCAGTAACCACTGCCCCGCCATGCAAAGCGACAGACAATACTTTTTTCAGAAGAAAACTACACCCAACACAACCAATCACCTCATTGTGCAGTTAATAAGAGGAAGATTGTCATGACAACAGCAGAACCATAATGCCCAACATGCACCTCACTCCATGCACCAAGGCTTCCCACACAAAGACTGACATCACAGCTGTGCATGCACGACAAGCTGTGTAGAAGCACTGAGAGTACACGGAGAAATTACGCCATGTTGAGAAGAGCACATGGACGAGACACATAACTCTTCTACATCAACACAGTAATCACAGCAACCTAAATATATCACAATCTCAAAGTAGGATATCTAAATGTCAGTGTAATCACAAATCACAGTGTTAATACATGAAAAGCCGTTTGTTGGACTTGACCACAGATGTCAAAGGCATGACAAAGTACGGTTAAGAGAACAAAGCACAAATAAGATGAAGCTGGTGATGGGTTGAGTTAGTCCAGATTACAGAGGAATATAGCATGGCTCATGACAAATAAAGATCAAAAGTAAAAATCAAGAATTTGTTTATTTATATGTTGTTGTATACACTGTGTCTTTTTGTGTACAAGCTACTCATGACTAACTTTGAGTTGAAGTTTGAATTTGTTTTATGTCAACAAAGAGGAAATAAAAAAACAGGGTGACTTGACAATATGAATGTGAGAGGAAGTGATAGATGGCAAGAAAACTGAAAATGACAAGGTCCACAAGTACAAAGGCATCATCATTTTTGCTGTCATACTTTCCTATAAATAATGGATCAAGAGCCAGAGGCTTACATTTGAATTTCCTTATTTCCAGTTATGGCTTTTTTGTGATATTAGAATAATGTCCTTGAACTAGTTGGCCTGCAGTTTGGTAGTAAGATTATTTCAAGTAATAAAACTCTCTTAATAACTTAAGGACATGGCAGTGATGAGATGATGCAAGCCACATTCGGAGATGACTGTCTCAAAGGTCACAGAAAAACAACCACATGTGGTGCATGGGAGGATGCCCGACAGGGAGCTGTTAAACTCCATTTTTTTCTTCAGTGACATTAACAGCCCTGCCTTTTAGTTTGTCTACGTGATGACTCGCCGTCTCCCTGACATTCTTCCATTCTCTGTGTCTCTTTGCCCATTAATCAGCCTTTCAATCTGCCGAGATTGTAATTCCCCTTGCTATTAGGTCTTTCATCAAAGAGCTCTATTCAGATGAGGGGAACAAAGGGGACGGAGGTGACCACTCCGGGCTTCGGTCACTCCATGGCACAGGGACCAGCCCCCTCCAAAACGCTCTGCAGGCCTCTTGAGCTCGGACAAAAGTGCTTTTGACAAGGAGCTTACTGTGTTGGATGTAAGAGGATGTAGCAGGCAGGGCTCTAAAACTAATTTATCAGGAGATGATATAAGATGTTAAAGGACAAGCATAGAAGAAGATAAAAGGTATTTAATATGCCAAACCAGAGGTCGCGTTAACCGAATATTTTTTCCGTCTGACGTTTTTTTTTATTAACAATGACGGAAACATTTGAAAGCAGTCCGTCATTTTGACAGATTAGAACAAACTCGGAACAGCGCCAAAGCTTCCCCGCAGCGAGGCTCCGGTGTTATGCCCGCCAAAATGGAAATGATATTGTTTCCAAATCTAACTTTGCCGTACAAATCATTGAAATGTCTGGGAGTTTTTGCTTTACGCTGTGCGCGCTCCCGCGAGGTGCAGTGGGCATGCATAACACGGCATAACACCGGCGCTAACAGTTCACGAGCGTGCGTCAACCCCCGTCCCTCCGTTGACAGTTCACGAGCGTGCTCTCTCTCTTCCCCCCTCAGAGTTGTGTACAGGGTAGACCGACGGGTAATAATAGATTTTGACAGAAATGTTACGATCCTGTCAGTCAAAATGACGGGCAGCGAAAAAAGTATAGCGCTACCTCTGCACCAAACAAACCAAGGGAGACAACATTAGATTGTTCCAAAAGAAAAGTTAGAGAGAATGGTTGGAAATGATGAAACGCTGTACAGATGGCTTTGTGACCATGAGCCAGCACTGTGAGAATAACAGCCGAGTGTGAGAGGAAGCACGGTCAGTTTGTGCATTAGTCGTGAACACTGAACATACTGAGACAAGTTTAGTGCAACAATACACTTCAGCACACATCAACCCCACAGCAAGGAACAGCTACAGGTGCATGCACAGCCGCTGTCCTCTCACCTTTGCGGTCAGGTTTGAGATTTCGGTCCACAGGCGGGGGCTGGCAGTCACTGATCATTGGCCTGCGAGGAGGGGTCTTTGGACTGGAGCGGAAGCCCATGTGGGCGGGCGGAGGGACCTGCTTCCCCAGGGAGGAGAACTCCATGGTGCTCGGGGTCATGGGCACATAGTTGGTTTCGTGGATGGGCTCCGACAAACTGCCGGAGTGATGGTGTGACGGGGAGTTGGCACTCATGGGGACATAGTTCTGGTCCACCTCCTCTGTGGACTGGCTGCCCACTGGCATCATCCCTTTGTTTTTCTGAGGGGGACAAGTCATACATGTGTTCACAAGAAGAGGACAGATATAGCTAGTATGAGGCTGCCTCTAAACTCTCTTATTTATATTTCAAATACAAACGATATTGTGCACGGGCAGAAATGCTAAAAATAGTGTCCGAGTGCATGTTATCGTTTAGGGAGGGACATAGACCACTTGTTTTTAGCACGCCCTTTTCATGCATTATAATAGTAGTAAGAAATTACCCAGAAACACTGCATTTCTAAGGCTTGCTTATGCAGCAATGCATTATGCTAATGAGTAGCAATAATACAAAAAAACTAATATCGTACTATAAGTGCTTAGCATTAACTGCCACACTAGGATTCTTCTAATCTCCATTACATTACACTAGTCTGCATACTGGGCCAGAGATTACAATGCATATATTAGGTATTATAAAAACAGCTAAGAAGATCTGAGCTTTATTGTTAGCAAGTCATCTGCATTTTAAAAATGTTATGTCTCTACTAACAACTACAATCAAAACATCCATAGCCATTACAACCAGGGTTTCTTTAGCAGGCAGCAACTACTCGAAGCACACCAGTGTTCTACATCATTTGAGTTTACTGTATAAAGCCGTGAACCTTGAAACAACACTTACAAAGTAGCTGTTGAAGCTTTCGTTGAAGTCAAATGAGCAGCTTTTCTCGGTGGGGAATGATCGAGGAATGTCATAGCAATCCTGGGAACCAAAGTCTGCAAAAAACAAATACATTTACCAAATATGTTCTAATACATTCAACATACTCTAGCTTTATCCAGCTGCATACGTTACATTAAGAGTGTTATCAGTAAATGTAAGGTAATGCAAACTATTTGTTTTTATATCAAAGCTTTCTGCTGAACTTCGAGCCCCTTTATGCTATAATGCAAACAATACACACAACACAGGCATATTTAAAACACCGTTTGTGTTTTCATGGAGCTACAAACATTGCTTATTCAGTGGGATAGAGCTCAGCAGCTATACAGTACGTAATGGCTCTGCTGTGTAGCACATTGTTATTGTTTTTGTATTCTCATTAAGCACTGCTGATACAGTCGCTAATGCATTTCTCTTACGACCACAAGAACAACAGCAGTGCTAGGAAACGCTTGTACAGCAAATGAGAGTGTCAGCTGAAGGAGACTAAGTGGGGGGAGAACCAGACAGGGAACTAACTGCTTCCAAGGAAGCAAAATTACAGTTACAAACGGGTCAGATGATAGCCAGGGTTTGTGTTGTCCAAATGGGGCACATTATCCACCAATGTCATGATTCTTTACAGTGTATTTCTATTTTGGTTCCCCTAACCCTGGTCTGCTTATTTGTCAGTAAGAGAGAATAAATTAAGCCTTCAATCTAGAATTAAGTATGGGAGGGAAATCCTCAAGAGCTTTATCGTCATTTAGTGTGAACTCACAAAACACATCATCTGATGAGCCTGGGATATTCTCCATTTCTGCAATGACAGTTTGAAAGCTGTTTAAAAGTTTAGCACAGACACGCCTGGCTTCTGTTGGGTTTTGTAAACAATTATCTTGTCACTAATACACCCGTAATGACATTAGTCACCACAAGAGGGAGAAGTATGAGGAAGATGATTATTTAGTGTCTTTAATTACTCCATTAGTTTCTTTCCTTTTCCTGAAAGCTAAGGTAATCTAATTAAAGCCATTCTACAAAAGAAGTTGTGCATTGAATTAAGGTTGGAGCTAGAAATGTAACATTTCAAATGTTTTCAAAGGTATCTCTCGTCTCTGGTTTGCCAACCAAATTCCTAAATAATCAAATGCCTTGTGAGTCAAGACCTGCGATGATGACATCTGCAGGAAACCAAGGGCTCTTATTTTGGGTCTCATTCTGATCAGTTTGAATAGACTGTGAACTGAACAGAAGATTGAGTGTGAAATTGCAGCTAAAATAAACATGCCAAGAGCTCCTACGGAGAAAACAGTAAAAAATACTCACATAAAAAGCTGTGAAAATCTGAATAAAGTTTATGAAAAGTATCACTGCACATAAGGTTAAAGATTTATAGAATAAATAGGCTTTATGTAACCCTAACCCTTCCTTTTAAATACAAAGTTGTATTATGATTTAAATATTCTTAAGACCATAAATCATACTTTTTAATGTCATAGCAGATTTCCAAAGCACGGGAAATCTCTACTCCCAACTAGAAAACAAAGTGTCCCCGACACAAACCTTTGCGGAGGCGTGAACTGTCCACAGTGCCAATAGTGTTGCTGCGTAAAGGCTTATTCCCAGCACTAGTAGGCACACAGTAGTTTCCGTCCGTCTCTGACGCTGAGCGAGGCACACAATAGGTGTCCGTAGGTGAGCGCTCAGCAGGGGGGGGTGGGGGTCCTGAGGTGGAACTGAGCGAAGGCTTTGGTGGTCTGGGAGGGGGAACTACATCTCCCCCACCCTCTGAGCCTCCTACCCCCGTCGACATTGACAAAGTGCGTGGCACCTGGTAGGTAGAGTTTGAGCCCGGTGTAGGCGGGATATCGTAACTGATGGAAAGGTTACGCAGATGTGACTCCATGGAGGGTTTCCGCGTTGGTGTGTTAAAGACGTACAGCTCCGAGCCATCAATGCTGTCTGGGTGGGCCGGAGGGGAGGAGGCCGACTTGGGGAGCAGCACAGTGTCCTGGGAGTAGCTGCGAGGGAGGTGGTAAAAGCCGCCGTCGGTGGAGAGCGAGGCACCGCGTGATGGAGGCGAGTCGTAGATAGAAGAGGCGGAGGCGGGGGCCGGGTGCTGCGGGAAGAAGCCGTTGTGCGAGGTGTGTTTCGATGAGGAGGTGGAGGAGGTGGGCGTGCGGTGAGAGGGGAGGTTGTCGTTCAGGTCTGTCTCTGACGAGGTAGACTTGGAACACTCAGCATGGGCTCTAGGAAGAAAATACACATACGAGGAGGATTGAATATTAACAGCTGATTTAGGAGAGACAAGAAATTCACTGAGTCATGGTTAGCCTTCAGAGCACTGTCTGCAAAACATGGTTAGTGACATTCAGTTTGACATTTTACACTTATAACTAATCTGAGGCACTTCTAGCCATACAAGTAGGCCTTGGAAATATATATAGTAATAATATATTAATGATGTTATATGAGACTGGATATTGTCTTGGATATCGTATTATCGGATGTATTTAGAGGACTTTACCCAATAACAGATATATATATATATATATAGAGAGAGATATTTTGATATTTCATTTTCTTCATATTGTCCAGCATAACATTTTAGCATCTCTTACTTGGGTCATGTGAAGGTGTCTGTAGATGTTGGGTAAATGCAAAACATGCAGGCAATGATAACATCATTGCAGTGTTAGGTAAGGTTTTCTGAAGATGGGCTAGTTGCAACACATTCAAACGCTTCAAAACAAGCAATAACCGTCTTCTTCAGAAGCCATGTAATTCTTCATTTTAGTGAATGAAGTGCTTGTTGATCTCGTTTTTTTTGTAATACACGTGCATGTAGCACTCCAAACAAGCAGGCAGTTCCAGTTGGAGGGCTGGGCACTCACAGTCTAGCCTGGGAGGGAAGAGTCTTGCTCTCACAATTCTCCAGGAGCAAATACTCCGGGTCTCCCTCCAATGGAGGGTGGAGCTGCACTGAGCTACACACCACACAGAGAGAGGGGGACCAGAGTGGCAGTACAGAAAGAATAAATGGGTTGGAAAAAATACAGAGGGAAGCTTATGTCTTAGAAGAGCACTCTAGAAAGGTGAATACAGAGACTCATACATATAATAAGCAGACGTTGACAGAAGCTCACCTGTTGGGGTCAGGCTTCTTGCTCTCACAGTTGACCAGCCACAGGTAGTCCTGGGGCTCCTCTGAGCTGGACTGAGAGTCAAGGTGTCGCACGCTGACTGGCTGGTATGGGGGGGGTACACTGGTCAGCATTGCTGCTGGGCCGAGGATGTGACCCAGAGCTGGGTGTGGGGGGGTGTCCACCACCAGGCCTCCGATGGCTGACTGGTGAGCAGCTTTTGCTGCCTCTGCAGGAGAGAGGAGACGGCCGGGTTAATTCCTCTTAAGAGTCTATTCTCAGACCTTCAGTATACCAAACCTTACAATACAAGGTTGTTTTAAAAGAGAACTATAGAGGATGATCACATATTAATACACTTTTTAGATGAACTGTTTCACAACAAATGCCATATGATGAATGAATTACAGATAGTTTTGATTGTCATCAAGCGACAACATTGATGACAAAAGATTAGATGCCATCAAGATCTGTCAGACTGGACTCAGCAGATATCAGTGATTGACTGCTCTGGCTTATTGTTCATTGGCTTTGCGGATATTAATCAGGGGAGGGAATGTCACACATTAAAAATGATATTCAGCCAGACATAGGTCCAACATCAACATGATGTTGAAGCATTCATCAGTCCCTTTACTCACTTCAGATGGACTCATTAAATCCAGTTTACTTCTTTGGCCTATTTATTTTTTTACCCCTTTTACTGAATTTACTACAATTGTGTGGATCTTATTATACACGTGATGTTAGATTTCAATCATCGAATTTTGTTTACCTATTGCAGTGGTTCCCAAAATGTTTTCCCTTAAATGACCCCTTTCGTATCATTATCAAAATAACGACCCATGGCGATGTGATGTTTTATGGGTATTTCATATTCTATTCAATGCATGAGTACAAAATGAATCACCTATGGCTCCGACTGAACCCCTACTCATCTCAGTAGGTCGGGCCCTGCTCTCACTCTAAAGCCCATTGAGACGGTGCAGGTGATGTTGGTGATATAAGGCAGAAAGTAAACAGTAAGCTGTTTGCTAACGTCAACTTTGGCTGAGTAAACTTGTCTTGCACCCAAGCTGTTTCCTAGCAACCCAATTCCAATGTAATAGCCTATAGTCCCCAGACTGACACCACATCAACTTTATATCTCTTTAATATCCGAATGTTTGTGTGTAAACTCTCTCTGATCCAACAACAACTTGAGGACATGTCTCAGGTATCACTTTAGAATAGTTTAACTCCAAATCAAAGCTGTTTCCTTGCAGCTTAAACAACAAGTGCTAAGAAACCACAATAATCTATAACCTCACTTTCCTGAGGGAAATCAAAACGTGTTCAAATACAGTACACAGTCCAGCTGGAGGGGAAGGACATGATACAAGTGTGATCAGTGTGGGACAAGATGCCCTAAATAACACTGGCACCGACAGCCAATGTCAAGTTGAAACACACTTGAGTCATTACTGTGAATGTACACGAAGAACACCATCATGACTTAGTGTTTCCAACCTACTTTACTTAAAACAGGGGTGTCAAACTCAAGGCCCGGGGGCCAAATCCGGCCCGTGACCTCATTTTATGTGGCTCCACAAGAGCTTGCAAAGAATATAATATGTTTATTATACGATTACATNGGGGTGTCAAACTCAAGGCCCGGGGGCCAAATCCGGCCCGTGACCTCATTTTATGTGGCTCCACAAGAGCTTGCAAAGAATATAATATGTTTATTATAAGGTTACATGCCGATTAAGCACGTTGCCCATAAACTACATGTCCCATAATGCATCTCAAATTTGACTTTTTTTCTCAGAATTAGACTTTTTTTCTTCAAAATGTTACTTTTCTTTTTCATAATGTCACTTATTTTTTTTGATTTTGACTTCTTTTCCAGAATTTGGCTTTTCTTTTTAAATCCTTTTTGTAACATTCTCACTGAAGAGACTTATGAAGTTATTACCATCTCCGATACTAATCCAATGCAGACGGCAATAATGTAATATAATACATTATTTTATATTAAAGGGGACCTATCATGCAAAATGCACATTTGTACGTCTTTTATACATGAATATGTGTCCCTGGTGTGTCAGGGAACTCACCAAGTGTCAGAAAACACAACCCTCTCTCTTTTCCTCCATACCCAAATCTCTAAAAACGGGGCTGCAACGGAGCTGATTATTATTTGAATTTTTCTGATGTCAGAAAAGGGGTGCTCCGCCTATATGGGCAACTCTCCACCTATCAGGGGAATGAGAGACCGCTCGAAAGCGCTGGAGACGCTGTAGTACATCTGCCAGGCCTGTAGGTGGCGCTGTAGTCTGCCACAAAAGCAGAATCAGCCCTTGCAAAAACAGGGCTGGAAAAGAGCAAATAGAGTGAAATGAGGCATGGCTAAAATGCATGATCTGTTTGGTATAATTTTGAGAAAAAAAACTTCACAGACATGTTTTATATAGGTATGGCCCTACAATATATGTTTCAAATATAGCATGATAGGTCCACTTTATATGTATTTTTTGTATGTATATAAAACTGGCCCTTTGACTGCAACCATGATGCTAATGTGGCCCGAGATGAAATTGAGTTCGACACCCCTGACTTAAAAGCTTCATTTGTTCGTTAACAGTGTGAATATGGTGTTTGCCTTCAGAATCCCACACACTTCTTCTCAGACAGAATGTCCTCAAGGTCTCCGCTTTGTCCCACACATATCAGCGTCCTCTGCAAACCCTTCTGCTTGTGCTGATTGTTTGTTAAATATATCTGTATTCATACCACATCTTTCTACATCTGCTCCCACTCTCTAACTGACGTGGTTTTCTCTTACACAAGGTCTCCTTTTTTCCCTTCTTTTATAAGCTCTCTCTCTTAACACTGCATCATTTCCCCTCGCTCTCCTCTTCTGCTATCTCCTTCCCCTTTTCACATTTGTTTGTTGAAGCTGTGAGTACTGATTCATGCAGGAAAAGGGAAATTCCCCTCTGCTCATACTCCTCTATACCTCCTACACCATCTTTCAGAGCCTTCCACCCCTGGCCCTCCTAATGTTCCCTCCTCTAATATCTGGCCATCCATTAAACACTCTAGCGTGGCCACACACACATCAGAGGACTGGGAGTTGGGTCTCACACGTAGAGGAGTGCAGCGAGCGCAGAACGGCGAGCCAAGGACATTCTTTTGTAATAAGAATTGTGTGAAACGCAATATCTGCAAGGATATTTGCCTTTAGAAGTTTCTCCTTGAAGGGAATAAATGTTTTTGTTTGCACATCAGGGTTTTAACAGCCCGTTCCAATAATTGTGTTGAAGAGGTGCCATGAATGTTGTTATCAGGCTTTTCCGGCAACACTTGCTATGTAACAGAGTTGGAGGCACAACAATGTGGAGAAAACGACCTTGAAGCAGCTGTGACTCAGACGCCAGGTTTGAAAGATACATTCTTCTCTCTTGGTGATGTAGCATGTCAGTAAATTTGATCTCATCAGACTCAAATACGCACACACTTAGTTGATAAGGGGGGGGATATATAAGTGCAATTGGGCCCAAAAACAGAGTGGGAAACAACAGTACGCAAACGAGACAGAATGGGAACGATATAATAGCGAAAGAACGAAAGAAGTGAGACTGACGGCCACACAATGCTTTGATTATACAGTATTGGGACAAGGGTAACGTGAGACTTAACTCAACACATGGATCAACACATGGATCATTAGACCTCGGTGAAGAGCTGTGCTGAATAGAGAGAGGCCTTTTGGCACATTCAGCTGGTTCGCATAACTTCTTCAGAAAGAGAGACCAATAAATGGCAATATACGGGATATAGCTTCAAGGTTAGCATTAGCATGTGGCTGATACTACGTTTTGAAACCGTGAATTGAAGGTGAAATGACATGTGGTGTTGTACACTAAACACACTGTCTTTAACCCCTCACGTATTGACGCTGCAATACTGTTATTAGGGAATGTTTAAATAACGACAGACATTAGAATATTGTAAAATAACACCAGAAAAACGACAGGATGTGCTTTGGACCCGCCCCCCGTCGAGACCGGCCAATAGGAGAAGACCACAGATGATAACAGGGGAAACAAGCCAAAAATCGATCTCTTTCACCCCGGCTGACCCCACGCAAACGGGTAGCAGCTGATCTGAGGAGGGGAGCCACACCACTCGCATATTTTCATTTGTATATCATCGCATTATTTCGTTTAATTAAATGCTGTTAACTTTTATAAGCTTCTTTGGACTCTTTTCAGCTAATCCTGGTCTCGGGGTTTAAGAATTCCAAACAAAAGCTTAAGTCTGTTGTGGTTGAGAACTGCTGACATTGCTGATATTTTATCATTTGACCAAACATAAATCATCCACAAAATGACAATGCTTATTCACATCTAGCTATAGTGCTATAAGTAATGCAATCACAGAATGATGCCTCGTATAACAACTTCAGACATGTGAATATATTTGGAGTTGATAGACGACATTTATGAGCAAATTCTTTCACAAAAAGCCGGTACAGTACACAAGATAATTTCAGGCTAATAAAAAGTAATATTTGCGTGTGAATGATGGGTTCCGCCTCTATTGCTCTCCAGACGAACTGTACCAAAGCCTCTGCAAAAGTGATTTGTCAATTCTGCGCCACCTACACACAAAAACTAGATTGCTTCCAACACCAACATCTTGTCCCTTTGCCTACGGATTTTGTTACTGTCACTACTGTTTATAGAAATTACCTATAATACTACTGCCAACATTCACTCAGGTTTGTTCTATAAAGAAACATTGTTTAGATGCATAATGAAATGTAACATTCAGAGAAAGATATCTGCATGGTATGTGGTTAAAAACATTTGCTTTTTTACAACTTTCACAGTCTGTGAAACCTGTTCTGGTGAGGTATAACTTTAAACCTTAGGGACTCATCTGAGACCTGACAGGTTGACACAGTATGTATGGTTGGCAGCAGTGATGTTTGGTTAATCTAACGTCAGCCCTTACCTTCATCAGTGGGGTTGAAGCCACAGATGTCGCAGATGCAGCGAACCCACTTATTCATCTCTTCTTCAGTGTCAGCCACCAGGTAGAAGACACGGTCGATGGTCTTGATGTCGAATATGAAGCTGTGCTCCAAGTCCTTCTTGTTGAACGTCAGCCCAGCGTCCACCTGAAGCAACAAAAAACAGATGACTACAGATTAACAAATAATACGTTGACCTCCGCCTAATCGTGATTCGAATTTACTCGATGAATTTGCTATCTGAAAATGTTTGCATGCTGGAGTGTTAGCAAAGACATAGCCAAGGGCTTTAGAGAAATCTAACTTTAAGTATTATTAGTAACTTACAACCGTATTGATTAACACCTTCTGCTTTTTTTCAATTGATGAAAATATTCAAGTTACATATATAAGCCAAGTCAAAGTTAAGGTTAAAAAGAAATATCATCACAAGCTGTGATTTTTTTATGTTACACATGTATTTGTTTTATGGGGAAGGGCTGGTTCAATCAAATATCAATGCAAGCGCCATGCCAACATGGGGATAGTGTCTCTTCAGTTCGGCAGTGATCAGGAACCATACCTGCTCACACAAGTTGAGATCAATAACACGGATGGGCTTCTTAGCGTGGTCATTCTTGTAGTACTCCAACACGTCTGGATCTCCTGTCAGACGGCCACTGCGAAGAACAAACCACCGCTTCTTCCATGCCTGTAGAGAAATGAGGCCAAAGGTTAAAAGTGTGTTCGCACAATGACTGATCCATTCCTGACTGACCACTGACTGGCCAAATGCTTTATTTTTCAAGTTGAGCCAATTTGTCTCTGTGTGTATTCTCCACCAGCTGCACTGCCCTCACTGAAGAAATACTGAGAGCAAGGGGGAAGAGGCCCGCAACCAGAAATATGCGTCTGGGATGACCAGAACAAAAGCCACTTAGTCTGATCGGATCGGGGTGAACAACAAAATCTATAAAGAGAAATAGGCCATTACGTATTTTTTCTTTCAAATGGGATTTGTTGTCTGTGAGAAAAAGGGACAGCAAAATTAGTCTGCAGTGCTTTGTGGTTTAAATATAGGCATAGCAGACAGAGGGAAAAAAAGGCTGAGATGTATGACTTCACTCTGTGTATAAAGAGAGGACAGTTTAGTAAGGAAGTCCTTTTTTCTAAAGCATAATTGAGGAGATAGAGAATGAGTCACCAATTCAGTGATGTATTATTGAATGATATATATTTTTTTTATTTCCCCTTGCACCACTGTTTTTCTAAATAGAGAGCTATTAAAACTCACCATACAGCTTCATAACTTGTTTACATATCGTGCATAGCAGCCATATCATGTTTTCTGTTTAAAAGATAAAGGTCAATGACAGCGAGAGGCTTCTTCAGACTTTTCAAAAATGAATACAATTCTGAAAGAGATTAATTTTGACCCTACACTGACACTGTTCTGGGTCTGGATTGTGTTTACAACCTCAGGGTGTTTGAAGTTATATTTAGATTCCAGCAGGCATTCATTTAAATGCAGACTCAAGAAGGTCATGAACTCTGATGTTGCTGAGTCATGGCAGTTAGGCTGCATGTTTTGATTTAGGGCTCAAAATAAGCACTAGCAAAACTTGTCAAAGCAACTGCTAAAAATGTTTGCAGCATAAAAGAGTCATCCAAAATCTATTTATTCCCTGGGGGAGGTGTATGGACACTTTGTACACGTTCCACCCACCAAATAGTTTAGTACTAGAAAGAAAATTAGATGGAGCGATGAATTGAATGCCAGAAACGTTCCCAGTGCCGTTTTAAAATGCGAGTTTGAAATGTTCAGTGCAACAACAAGCACCACTGAGATCAGACGGATCAGGAAGCATACCAGCAGAGTGTGAGGAATGCAAACTAAGCTTTGGTGTTGTTGTTTTGGGGTACGATTTTGGCCGTATTAACAATGCTGTGGGTGTGGGATTTTTTTTCATCCCTTGGCTGTTTTTCCATCCACAGGGTGTCCTTTGTTAGCTGGCCAAGCCCCTCACTGAGACAGCATGATGAGCATCAGACCTTTCTCTCCACAAACAGGATGAAGAAAACAAGAAGAACGAAAAGGCCCTGCATTGCAAACTGCAGGACATACAGGAATCACATGGACAAAAACACCCAACGAAAACATCCTCCACTGACATATCGCACACACACGTGCAACACATGTTTCACACACTGTAGTTCAAGAGCACTGCATTATATAATCACAAACACACCCACATAGTACACATGAGCCTTACACCTATTAAACCTGCATCCTTTGAGGCACTTAAATACCAAGTTTAACTGTAAAACAACACTCAAGTGTCTGTGTTGTGCTGGTGGGACAAAGACGGAGGGTGCGTGGGGGGGGGGAACCTCTCTCTCCTGCACATGACAAAGCAATCTTGGGTCAAGTTACCCTGCGGGGAACAGAAGGACCGACAGCTTAGGTTACAGCGAGGCCAGGCCCGCCCAGCGCGAGTGTGTTGACAACTGGGTAAGTTACACATGCTGAAGACCGAGGCAAGTGAGACCTGTTTACAAAACGGGTTAACAGCCATGGAGCAGGACCGCCTTTTAACATTCATGAGAAAACAACAGGTAACTTAGAGCTAAGAGGTAAAAACAGAGTAGAGAACCCTATACAAATTGGTGTGCATTAAAATACTTTTTGAATACTTAAGATACTGCATAGTCTGCTCTTTAAGATGTACTTGCAAAAAGACAGGAGGTTGCAGTGTCTGCTCAATTTAAAAATCAAAACCCTTTAAAAACAGCACTTGATAACACGGATAGATCATTGAAACAAAAGGATAATACAATCGTAAGAATATCTCTGAATGTAATATATCACATAAAGGAAATCAAGTGTATAAATCACATAAAGAAGACATTATCATAGAGGACTGCCAAGAGAAGATGAATATAGTGAACAAAAGGAAGACAAACAATAATATATAAAATGAACTGCCTAAATTGTAACATTTGTGTTGCACAATATATATTTGCTCTTACTATTGTTTTATTGGTTGCAACTATATTTTGTAGGGTATCTTTTTCTGTTATATGTATGTATTTTGTGAAGGTCACTTTGTTCAGTGCATCACAAATAAAGTTCAATATATTTCTTTGAAAACATACAACTATAAAAGAGCCCAAGATGAGTAGAGCAAGAAAATATCTAAAAAAAGATTACAGAAAATAGTTCCAAAACTGTTTACTCCTGGGGCGTCCAAGACAAAACGCATTCACATCAGAATATTTGACAATAAGTTATAATAATTTGCACAGAAATAGAATTCCCCAGGTGACAGGAAGCTAGATGCGGATCACAGTTGAAAACATGGGTCTGCAATTCAAAGAGTATCAGACCAGAAGAGAATTAGCTCTCGCTGCTTCTGCTCTGCCACATTAGCATGGTTACAGCATGACAGGCTGTGTGGTAGTGTGAGCATCTCTCCTCCATCTGTGGGCTTTCACACAGCTTCCCTCGTGCACAATTGCACCGTTTTGTACCACTCAATTAGCACCAGATATGTGCAAAGAAATAAAAACAGAATATAATGATTCACACATGAAACCACTACCTAGAGTAACACAAACACAATGCCTAACATCACTGATGATATGACAATGCATAACAAAAGCTTCTCTCACCTGATGCAAGTGATTTTTCATTGACATGCGTAAAGATACTTAATACGTTTATATGCACACAAGACATCAGGAGAGTGGGATAAATCAGGTTAAGGCAGGAAGTCAGAGAACACATTTACATGCAGGGCAATAATAAGGTTACTGTAAAATCCCCATTTGCGTGCAGCTGGTCATTAATTAGATTTCTTTTCTACCTCCCACCATATTTGAAAACCAATGTGGGCAGGTTGAAAGTGTATCAGTGATATGCGCTGCAGCCTGAAGTGATGCTTTGCTTTTTTTGTAACAGCATGTGGACTGACAGCGCAGTGGGAGGACGAGCACTTGAAGTGAGACAACACGGTTTTTTTCTCCAAATGTGTCGTGAAAACCTACAGCTCAAATGATATACGTATACAGACTCATTTAGTTTAGCATTTGTTTCCTTTGCATTTGGACTTTGGAATAATGTAAATGGTATGGAAGGATGCATTCCTACGTATTATTTGGTATCTCTGAGTTGCTTTACCTATAAGTAGTTGAACACTTTGTGGCTAAGACATTTGACTCAAGCATAAAACATGTTTTTCCTCATTAAGTAAACCTAACCCAGCATCACTGAAAACAAATAATCCACTGCTCCATTTCCCCCCAAAACTGTCTTATTTAGCTATAAACAGAAACGTATGGCAACAGAGTCATTTGAAATAATCTAATAATAAGTCTGCACATCTCTTCATGTTTTGGCATTACACTGAATATCAACATGAAAGAACCAGAGGACTTTGAACCCAGAGCTTCATAACACATGCTGCCACGGTGTTGCCAGATGACCTTTGCCAAATACTGAGTTGTCCACCAGTACATACCTCCTGTAAAGACTCATGGAGAACATGATGGGGCATCTAGTCCTGCTTTTTGTTTTGTATATTCCATTGTTAAATCCCAACTGGTCCGAGTCACATTGCAGTACTTAATGACTGCTGGAAACACATACATTCATTCTAGTCAAAGTCTGAAGCGTTCAGCTCACTCATCATTCACAGACCCCACTTCAGTTTGTAGTCGAGTGATCACTGCCCGGCGTTGGGAATGGGACGGCATGGGACGATACTGGACTGGGGTTGGTGGGGGCTTCCCTAGCATGGCAGCTGTCTCCGCCAACCCCTCTCTATCCCCCTCCCCCTGTCTCCAAGCATCCTCTGATAGGGTGAGACACAGGAAGACACCCTCTATTCGCCCACCCAGGGCCTACAGCCTACGGGGGCCAGACAGAGGGGGCATTGAGGGTCTGAGTATAAGAAGATGACAGGGAAGGAAGGGTGGGAGGGTTGAGGGTAGATGCCAACTGAGTGGAGTCACGCTGCCGTCAGAGGCCTCCTGACCCGACATCACTGGGGCGTGACGGAGGCAGAGGTGGAGGACATAAGTAGGTGAAGTGCATGAGGAGGGACAAGTTATTTACACTATTGTTGTTTAAGAGAGGAAACAATGGAAAATACAGAAGGGTAAAGAAGACTAGCTGTCTACAGGATATAGAAACAATAGAAGAACCACACACTGTGAGGTGGAGAGGTGTGAGACTGACCGTTGAGCGGCCCGACCAAGCAAGGAGGCAGAGGCAGAGAATCCAAAAATATAACCCGACAGGGCATTTATTAAATGATCAACCCAATGTTAGATCACACACAATGACACAGACACAATGACACAGCCACAATAAACTGCTCACGTGCCCAGCCTGCGGCCACCAGCAGCTCACACACACTGACTCCAGCACAACAAAAGACAGCACTTAAATACACAGAGGAATAAAACACAAGTGAGGGAAAACAATTAGACACAGGTGAGGGGGGAGGGACAACCCAGGGTCCCAGGTGCGCACAATCAACCGGCCCAAAGCCATCAGTCCATAGTGACGCGCGTCACATTTCCTTCCTCCTCTCCCCAGGAAGCACAGTGTCCTATAGTCTCGGTTTCGGGACCACCAGCTAGCCACCCGGCTCCAACGCCGCCATCCGGAAGCTGCTCTGTCCTGTTGCAAGGTGTTGGCGGGTGGCTAGCTGGTGGTCCCGAAACCGAGACTATAGGACACTGTGCTTNTTGTGCGCACCTGGGGCCCTGGGTTGTCCCTCCCCCCTCACCTGTGTCTCATTGTTTTCCCTCACCTGTGTTTGATTCCTCTATGTATTTAAGTGCTGTCTTTTGTTGTGCTGGAGTCAGTGTGTGTGAGCTGCTGGTGGCCGCAGGCTGGGCACGTGAGCAGTTTATTGTGGCTGTGGCATTGTGTGTGATCTAACATTGGGTTGATCTATTTAATAAACGCCCAGTCGGGTTATATTTTTTGGATTCTCTGCCTCCTTGCTTGGTCGGGCCGCTCAACGGTCAGTCTCACAAATGGTGTCAGAAGTGGGATTCTACCAAGTAAGGAGAATTATGGGAGGAAAGAAGAGGGACCAAGGAGAGGAACCGCGGCTGGGGGTGGCTGTGCCTGGAACTGACCAGGGGGCCACGGCTGCTGAGGCAGCAGGAGACGAGAGACAGGCAGCACGAGCT